ATAAACACAAACCATGCTTTTAATGAGAGCAGGTTCAGGTCCCAAGAGTACACTTGGCCTTTGTCTTCAGAGTGGACTGTGAGGGTCTCTGTACTGGTGCCCACAGCTGCTCAGAATGCTCACAAATCTGCTTAATCATGTTCTTAGGAATATCTGAGGTGTATTACAAAAATTCATAATTATTTAGTCACATATTCTGTATTAACTTTTAATGTTTTGTATGATAGTTACCATCATATATTTTAATAGTTTTTAAAATTATCAATAATTTCTCATGACTATAAATATTTGCAAGTTAACATTAATATTATGCTGTAAATATATAGGAGTAAAGAGTTAAACACATATTGTAATTTACAGAGCTCATTTCTAGTTCTTTAAAAAGTGGAGTAAAACCGTCTTCTAGATTTCGTGTTCATGGATTGAGCCAACTGTGAAAAACAGGAAATAAAGAGTTAGAAAAAGACACAGTTACAGAAGGTGTAAGGTGCAGCCTACGAGACAAAAACAGCATAGTAGAAGATGTGGAAAAAGACAGAAGGAATGTGGGAGGAAATAAAAACACTCAACTTCCTGAGATGATGGAAAATGAGAAGGTAAACACGCAAACGATGCAACACACTACTAGGAGGATGAGCACAAAGTGATGCATATGAAATACATTACAACCATTCCAGAGAGGATCAACACAGAGTGAAGTGTGAGCACAGCACACAGGAAAGCAATCATCGCTAACATGGGGTGATTTCTCAACATTAACTTTGTTTCCATGAAATAGTAAGCTTTGCTGAGGATGGGAAAAATGAGAGCCCTTACCCGCTGCAGTGGGAGGACTAAATGGTACAGCTGCTACGGAACAAGGGATGAATGGATACAAATAAAACAATATGGGATCCAGAGACTCTGCTTTCACTAATGTACCCAGAAGAATGGAGGACACAGTCCCAAAGAAGTACTTGTCCACCCATAGAAACATTACACACGATAGCCAGCATTACAAGCATTAGAAACTGGCGTGGACAGATGAGTGATAATCAGGAGTGAATGTCATTGCACACGGCGCAAATTTACTGTGTCTTTAGAACATAGGAAATTCTGACAACGGCAGCACGGGTGAATCTTCACAACATTATATAAGTCAGTGTCCCCAAACCACAGGCTATGGACCAGCACCAATTCTTGGCCTGCTAAGAATCTAAGAGGGTGAGCAACAGGTGAAAAACTGAACATGTGTCTGTGTTTACAGTGCTCCCCAAACCCTGCAAAGATTACCTGAGGTCCACTTCCTGACCAATCAGTGAGACATTATATTTTCTTTGGAGGGCGAAATCTACTGTGAATTGTGCATTGTAGGGTTGTGGTTGGCCTGCTACCTATGAAAATCTAACACCTCTGAGGTGGTGATGCTAGCACTGGGGAGCAGCTGAAAATACAGGTGAACATTAGCAGAGACGTTTGACTGCACAGGCACTGTGAAAAATCAATGCTTTCAGACTTTTGTCCAAACCCACCAATGAGTGGCAAGTGACAGTTGTGCTGCAGGTGGTGTCCGGCTTTAAAGTGGCTGATATCGCTCAGTCCTACAGCTGCATTTTGAGCAGGGCTTCAAGGCGAACCTGACACTTATTTTATTCTGTGTGTCAGGTTCGCCTTTGAGCAGGGCTTCAAGGCGAACCTGACACTTATTTTATTCTATGTGTGGCCACCACTTTTTTACTGCTTCATCTGCACTTCTTTCCCAATCTGTGACCCATATCAATCACAGTCCTGGTGAGCTCACAAGCTAACTTTAGCAAAAAGGAACAAAATAAAGGTCATGAGAAAGCTTCTTTGTAAAGAGGAAAAAAGATCAATTGATGAGACACCAGGAGATTCTAAAACTACCAACAAAGAATAAGCTGCATTTAAAAGACAGAGGCGAGAATCCCAATTAAATTATGAATTCACTGAGGCAAATGATTTGCATGCTCCAAACCTACTTTGTATAGTGTGTGGTGCCCAGCTACCTATTAAGCTATAAAACCTTCAATACTGCTGTGCTCCATGGAGAACAAAAACCACAAATTTAAAAAAAGAAGTCTTTGAGTTTATGCCAAAGGAAGAAAACTGTGAACATTAAGAAAAGGAGCAAGGGCAGAACGCACCACTTCATCAAATGTGTCTGTGCTGAGGGGATCATTCTCAGTGGCTGACCACACTGCCAAAGCTGAGAAGCCTTGCAGTATTGGTAAAGAATCGATCCTGTCGACTGCTAAGGACATTGGTCAGGACATTTTAGACTGGACTGCAGCTCCAGCGGTGCATGAGTTCCTCATTTGGCTAGAACGATGAACAGACAAATGGATGAAATAGCAGAGGATACTGAGGAGCAACAGTTAGGGAGTCACTTCGTACAAAATGCACGTTCTCTAATCTACTGATGCTGATAACACAGGAACAAGGCTTTTCAGGATGATGTGCCTGAGGATATGTTATGTGTACTTTTGTTGCCAACCAACAACACAGTGCTAAAACTATACAAGTCTTTAAGTGACTACATATAAGGAACATTGAATTGGCTGTTCTGTATTGGTATATTCATGGACAGAGTGGTCACTATGATTGGACGACTTTCTGGGTTCACTACTTGCATCAAGGAAGTCACTTCTGCATGTGAGTCTATGCCTTGCATCATCCACAGAGAAAGGCAGGCTAGCAACAGTATCAGCTAAGAAAACAGTGCAATGAAATTAACAACCGCACTGGGCTGGAGATGCCTAGCACTGGCCATGGCTGCCTAGCAAGTGCAAGATCCCAAGTTCAACACCCAGTACAAAAAAAAAAAAAAAAAAA